AGCTTAGTATGGGTATCTACTCTCCACCTAAACATTCCCATGATGTCGGCTTGGGAGGTATTGGTACACAGTTCTGGTGAAAAAGTTGGGAATAGGTTTGAGAGGACCTCGGCTAAACTCAAAACAGAAACTGGGGCAAGGGTTTGTGTGTGCATATGCAGCCCTAGAGATAGATTGGACAAGCACAGAATCGCAGAACAAACTTGTTTGATACATGAATGGCGAAATTTAAAACGCAAACAATTATTCAAGAATATGGATGGATTCACAAATAACAGTGTACAAACGTAACAAAGTTCGAAGTAAGTCAAAAAAAGAAAAGAGGGAAAAACAATGGCTTACCAAGGAAAATGATGCCGGTATAAGGTCGCCAAAGTAAGGCAATGACGGTAGATGTAGCAGAACGGTGGATGCTTCACCAGATGAGGTGAACGGAGTAGTTGCAGAAAAGCTTTGAAAGCGACAATGGTGGCTTAGAGAGAGAAAACTTGAGAGAAATCAGAAAACGTGAAGTGAAAAGACAGAGAGAGGTAAGTGTTTTTGTTAAAACACGAAAGGGGGGCAAAGTTACATTGAATGTGCCTAAGACGACGTGCCTGTCAGGCGGCACACGCAGAAGCAACGCGACCTGATGGCGCGTGTCAGGTACGGATCAATGAGGAAAAGACACATGGCAAAAACGATTGAGAAACTGTGCGTGACAGCTCATGGGCACGTGGAACTCTTGGAGTTCTTGATTTAATGAAGGAAAGACCTCGGCTAGGGGGACGATCTCGGTTAAAGAACTTTAAAAAAAAGTTGTTTTTGGTTTTTGGGCATTGGTAATACAGATTGTAGTCTTGGTCATATGGAAGCCGACGTGTTATGGCCTCGGTAATGAAGGATAGAGCAAGTCTTAGCCGGCATGCTATGGGAACAAACGATGACGAGGTAATAGAACCTAGGGGGCAGTTGTGGCGGCATATTTTTTATGAATGACAACACGTGGCCAAGGTGGCACCGAAGTGCCAGCCGAGGTTCCATGTGTCCTAGTCATGTCGCCGAGGTGATCTCGGCTAGGCCGAGGTTATCTGCGGAGATGCCAAAATCCGAGACGAACGGATAAGGAGTAGGAGTCCTAGAATGGGGGAGGACCTTAGTCCCGATAAGGATAAAACTCTTAGGGAGTTTATCTTTATCTATTTAAGAGTCCAAGATAAGCATTGGGTCAGAGTCCATTGAAGCTAGACTTCTACGGGAATCAGGTCAGTGTTGGCTATAAAAGTAAGGCACCCTTATGGGTCTAAGGTACGCTTTTTATATTCTGGCTTAGTGAGTTAAGCACTGTTTGCTATCTTTGAGAGATAACTGAGTACTGACTTGATCGTCGGAGTGCTCTTGGGTGGACGAACCACCGCCGGAGTCTAATCTTTCTGTAGCAGGTTGTTCGGGCGCAATCTATTCTGCCGGTGTTCGCCAATTGAGTACCTGTTTGGCAGTATGGACAAAAATCAGCACCCCCACAAATTGATCAGCAATTTTATATTTCTCGTATTTGTGTATATGAAAATGATATAAAAGCCCACTTTAGCGAATGATTAGAGAAGATATGATACCGAGTTGTCTGAGTGTTTGTACCATTTTTGGAAAAATTGTCACGTGGCAATTTCTCTATTAAATTAAATGTCACTTGGCAATGAAGACCAAGAGTTGATGATTTTTGGGGAACCATCAAAGCAAAATGGTGGCTGTGCAAGGGAGTATTCTTATTTATTTAATTGACCAAGTCAATTAGTTGGTTAATTGATTAATTAATTATTTATTTAAGGATTATAGGTGCCTCAACTGCCTCGAAGGAAATAGGAATTGGTTGAGGCCCACAAAATATCACTTCCTTAAATCAAGCAAGATGGTTGGCCTTTGATTTGGTGAAGATCACACGTGAGGTTCAATGAGCTTGATGAGTCAGCAAAGGCTACAAAAAAGGAGCCGTTTTCCCCAAACAATGCAAAGTGGGGTTTTTAGGATTCTTGTGGGTTATACACGTGGTAGGTGGAAAAGCTTAGTGGATTAACCCAAAGCTACAAAAATGGAGCAATTAGTCGTTAGTGGTTGCTACACTTGAGGATCAAGCCAAAGATCATGGAACAAGTATCAAGATGAAAGACTGCCATGTTCTTGGCAGTTGCGCAGAAATGAGAGGTCAATTTGCACTATAAAAGGATTCCAAAGCCAGCATTTGAAGAGGTCCAGCACCAAACACTCAACTAATAGTTCATCTTTACATTTATTTTAGCTTTCATAGCTTTTATCTTCATTCAAGCAATTCAATTTCATGCAATTAGTTGTTTATCCAACTTATCTTTAGATTAGTTAATTGTACTTCATTTATCAATCAATGCAAGTTTCAATTCTAGTTTAGTTATTCGCCCCTTGGTTTTCTAAGTGATAAACACTCAGATTTTCTAACAGACTACCACATCATTGGGTTTTTTTATTTTTTTTATTTTTTTGAACTAGCCACATCATTGAGTTTGAAAAGTAGGTCTAACCTTTGGGTTAGAGTAGCACTACTCTTGTGTATATGTGTTGTAATGTGATTAGGGATGTAAGAAAAATTGATAAAACCGAGCCGACCGATAGAAATCGACCGGAATTTTAATTTTCAGTTTGTTTTTCATAACATACAATCTGTTTCGGTTTTAAAACTTTTTATATTGTTGCAAAACTGAACCGACCGAATATTATATTTAAATATTTTTTTATAATAATTTTTTGAACATTATATGAGAAGTAATTAATATAATACACTTTTGTGATAAACGTTAGGGTGGAAAAACATTTATAAAGCAATTTTCATATGTTTTCTTCTTTTATTTTCAATGTAAAATTCTATAATCTACTATAAAACCTTTTAAAATTTCATATAAATTTCTCTTCTATATCAAACTAACAGAACTGATAAAACAGAACCATAGCATATGGTCTATATTGATTTCTCAATTATAAAAACCAAAATGATCGGTTTGGTGCTAAATACCAACCGAACCGAACTGTACCGTTTATACCCTTAAATGTGATTGCCTTTTGTGTTTTGCTAGTTAACCAAGGATGAAATAACAATACAATAATTCTAGGAACCATGAAAAATTACCCATAATTCTATCTTGAAAAGTGACGTGTACAGTGTAGATGTAAAATTAATGTTTTGTGGGCCATAGGTAGAATGAATCTTGTCCGCATATTTGGATAAAATTTTGAGTATTTTTTTTCTTTTTTTGATAATGCTACAAACCCAGAAATTTACCAAGAATTTGAATGGTGTGGACATGATTCATTGACTAAAACTTGTGTTTCTTCTTGTTCATCTCTCTATGTCAATATCTATACATACACATGCAGAAATAACTTCAACTTACATCTATATATATTAAATAAATATTTGAGTAAATTACATTGACCTCCATTGAGGTTTGGAAAAAATACACGCAGCCTACTGTTTTGACATAATTATACTGACTTCCTTTTTAGAAAGTTAAAGAGACCAAAACCAATATAGATACAAAGATACAAAGACACACAAGGTAAAATATACATTTCAATGTAAAAGAGATGCCAATATTATTTTTTTATTCATACGACTAATATATTGTTGATGAAAAAGGGGCCAAGTATTATATGAATTAAAACCTTAAGAGTGTCTAGTGTAATTATGCCGAACTTATGAGGCTTATTGTCTGTTCTCCAAACCTCAAGGGTTGTCAGTCTCATTTACCCTAAATATTTATACAACACAAACAACTCTTTCATTGTAGTCAGTGTGATGTGGCCATCTCTCTCTCTAAAAAGACAGATGAATAGAAGTACAAAAGAAGAAGAAAATGAGAAGGGTATTAACATCATTTTTTATGCCGCTAACGGAATTGGTGGTGCAATGTAATCCAGAAACCACATAATGTGCTGATGTTTGAACATTGAGAGAGTTATCCGCACATTAGCGAAACCACTACGTGGTAAAGTGAATTTTACCTCCAAAAAAGTTGTTTTTGTTGTCAATTTTGAAATCATTATTCTTTGAATTAGGATAAAAAGCTAGTGTAATTCTTTCTATTCATTGGAGAGAACATGTTATCAATAATTTCTTAAAGTTTTTGAAAATCTCTTGTGAATTATGTGATGCAGTTCTAACCCTATTTGTGATAGCAGTGGAATCTGTGTGATGGCTATACTCATCATTATCTTCTTCTTCAACATATGTGAATCCTCTTGCTTTTCACCTTTAAACCATACAGCCTACATCACAAGCCCATTATGTTCTTCCTTCAACTTATCAACCATCTTCTTCTTCTTCAGCAACATATGTGAATCCTCTTTCTTTTTTTTCTTTTTTCTTTTCTTTTCTTTTTTTGCCCCCCACCTTTTAGACCTCACCTTTAAACCCTACATCACAAGCCCATCTTCTCCTTCATCGTCTTCTTCATCTTTAGCACCAGGCGTAAATCCTCTTTCTTCTTCTTCTTCTTCTTCTTCTTCTTCTTTTTTTTTTGTTCCCCTTTAAACCAAACCCTACATCACAAGCCCATTATGTTTTTCCGTCAACTTTTTTTTTTTGCTTTGCTTTCGTTAAGCAACTGAATACATTGGAGCCACCGCAGAAGACGACCATGACAGAGACAGCCTTCCCAAAACAATTCAGCCCTTAATCCATTTCTGATCAAAACAACATTACAGCCTACCCCTTCCTGATCATAACAGCCAATCAGCAAGGCTACAACAGCCAGCAAAGCACCAAAAATAACACATACAACAGAGCTCAACCATCAGAGCATATAAATGGCGTCCTCGTTTCCGGATGAGAAGCTACACACTGAGGGAAGCAAAAAGAGAGAAACTCAAAAACCCAACTTCAGACCAGCAGCATAGCAGACCAACAAGCTAACTCAAGCAAGCAACAGAGGGGCAAGCTAACTCAAGCACCAGCAGACCAGCAGTAAACGCTTTAGTGAAAACAAGAAGCTAACTCAAGCACCAAACAGACCAGCAGCATAGCAGCCTAGCAGCTTAACACCCAGAGGGGTAACATCAAAACCACAGAGCAAAACAACAGCAAAACCACAAGGATGGACTTCACAGCAGCAGCCTGGTTCAGAAGCAGAACAAACAGAATGGAGCAAATGGAGCAAAACCTGATCAGAAAACTTCAGACCAATTCATTTTGCAGCAAACAGAATGACAAAAAAACCAGGCCAACCCAACCACTGATGATGCACAGGCAGGAGGGAACAGAGTCAAGCCCAGTGCATTTACAAAAGAACTTGGCTGCTGCTGCACCTAAATCTGACTAGAAACACTGAAAACCTCAACAACCCCTGCCTCTTAAACAAACTCTAATCAGCCCAATGTTATGCAGGAAGTCATTAATAGAAAACTGATAATGCTTCGAATAGGCCTTCAACCAAATCGCTAGACAGATAATAATTAACTCCTGCAGCTCCTCCATATCTGGCTGAACATTTTCCATCAACTTATCAACCATCTTCTTCTTCTTCTTCAGCTCCAAATGTGAATCCTCTTGTTTTTCACATTTAAACCACACCTTTAAATCCTATATCGCAAGCCTATTCCGTTCTTCCTTCAACTTATCAACCGTAGCACATAAAATACTCAAAATAAGCTTATTTTTACTGTTCCCCAGGTATGGTACATTCACAGCCCCTGGATAGCGCTAAAACTGATTCTAATCTTGCTTGATTACAGCCCCAAACACCTACATTTTTGTTATCCTATACAAGCCCTAAAAGCAAATATATTTTAATAACCTTTCGGTCACAAAGAACTAATTAAAATCAGTTCTTAAAGCTTACTTTTTTCCTGCTTCCATATTTCATATTTGGCTCACTACTTGTAGGAGTATTCCTCACACCTGTCCTGCGTCACCACTGAGCTGGTGGTCAGAATTGGGTTATATATTTTAAGAAGTTTGAGAATATCACCCCAACATAGTCTAGGGGAAATAACCTGTGAAGCACTGATTCCAGTCACTCAGTTGTTGGATTGCTTAAATCTTCATTGGATGTATAATTAAATTGTCAAGACTAGACGTACTCCAAAGATCAAAAGCAGAAAATGAATTTGGGAAAGCTTTGCTATTGTAGATCTGACAGCAAAAGCAGATAACAAAATGGTGAATAATTGGGATTCAAAGGTAAACAAATGGAAATGGGCCTCTTGATTTCTCCTGCTTATTAAATTGTCTTTTACATAGATGTTCTATTAGTGAAAAAATAATTTTGGAGGTGTTTATGCTGTTGTTGAGAATACTCATTCTTCAGTTAGCAATATTATTGGGCATGGTCAGTCTGTAGTTTGCACCCCTCCAAAGATGCGCATTATGTGCACCCATTTCAGTAATGACATGAAGTACTCGAAGTTATGACCAAGCCACATCGGATTGTAACTTTGATTTACGACTCACCGAGTCATTGAAGTAATGACAAAATGTGATTGGGGTGACTTCGAATTTAAGATCATCTTGCTGAATCCACGTTCATCATTACCGGAGCTTGATCCTCCACACCTTGAACCACCTCACTGGAATCCACTAGCAATATCCCCAAATAGCCTTTGAAAACCTTCAAATGACTTCCAAGATCAAAGTGTAATTGGTTTGAAGTGTTCAATTCTTCACCCTCAATGAGCTCGGCTCTGATTTTCGTGTTAAGAGAGAATATTTAGTCAGATCTAAAACTGCCTCAGATCTCGTAAGGAAAAGGTGACCTGATCGACCTGCACTGCTCAAGAGAACACTTCATGATGCGACTCTTCTATCATCTGGCCTGACCAAACAGATGGCTCGAGCGGTGACTTCATGGCTCGAGTGATGAATCCATTAAATATGCCACGTAATCAAGTTTGTGCCACCCCAATACAGTCTACTTAGGTCCAGGACATGTGGATTCATCTCATATAAGAACCAACCCAGAACCTAAAGGCTAGAACCATTACAACTGAGAGAACTACAACAGAAAAGTGTTTGTCCAAAATTCAATTGCCGAACAACTACCTACACTGAAAGGCTCTAGGACTAACATTGATAATGGCCAGTATGTAGTTTACACCCCTCTAAAGATGCACACCTATTACAGTTATGACACAATGTGTGTGAAGTTACAACGTGATGTGCTCTCGAAGTTATGACCAAAAACTGCATCGTATTGTAAATTTGATTTTCCACTCACCGAGTCATTAGAGTTATGACAATGTGATTGGGTCGTAACTTTGATCACATTGCGTCATAATTTTGTGCACATTGTGCCGTAATGAGCGGGACACACTACAAATTCAGCCTATTGGGTATGATGCTATAGAATTTTCAGAAAATAAGTTGACTAAAGTTGGCGTTCTAAGAAGTACGGATACTTCTAAAAGGGCAGCGTGTTTGTGTCGGATACTTCCCGATACGTGTCTGACACTTATCCAAACACGTTTTATTTAAAAATATATATACATATATAGACTAGGATACTTGGAGGGCACACGTGTCCATTGCATAAACACACATATCCATTAAGTAGATACATACGAAACTAATTATAAGTTTGAACAAAATAACATAGATAACGATGATAAAAAAAGAATAATGTCAATTTATAAAAATTAGTGTTATATTACATTTATTTATTATCTTGGAATGATATATATTTATAAATGACATACTTTGTTATCAGAATCTTACGATTCGCGATTCGATTTGTAATTTTTACAAAATCGATATGAATCTATGGGTGAATCTATTTTGAAAGTGAATCTCTAGTGAATCGCACGATTCACAATCGATTCACGATTCAATTCACTTTTACGAGTCATGCAATTCTTAAAATTATCGTGTCTGACATATTTTTAACTCTTTTTTCCTCAATTTTTTTAGTAAAAATGACATAATACATTTTAATAGCGATTAATGCCAAAATAATCAAACTATATACATGATTTGTTGTTATTTTAATGATCATGGAGTTTTTAATAGGATCCAATCAGATTTAGTCAGACTCAACATGTTTTTAACCTTTCTTCTCATTTTTTTTTTCTTTTAAAAAATCATAATATATCTTCTAAAGATATTTAAAATTAAAGTAACTTACACCATGAATTATCTATTGCTATTTTATTAAATTAAATATAGTTGAATATTACATAGGTGATGTCAGTTATACCTTTTAAAATGTTTTATGGTTTAAAATAAAAGATCCTAAATAATTATTTCTTATTATTTTGTCATTGTTACTTGGAAAAGTATGTATACTTATTGTCCAAATATCAGTATTATTGTCGAATTATTATTACTTTGTAAATTGAGAGTTTGTTTTTGCTTACCGTCTTTTATTAAGAATGGTTGATAAAAAATATCTAAACAAAAGAAAAAGTAAGATGGTGATCTCACATGAGAACATTTGTTACTTCAGTACCTATTAAACTACGTGATCATCATTTCAAAACAATGTTTTCATTGGTTTAATTCTAGATATTTTATATTTATAAGATATATTTAACATCCAAGTGTGTCGATATATTTTTTTTAGTAATTTAGAAAAAAGTGACCAAATCTTTACAATTCACAATTTAAATCGATTTACGATTCGGTACAAGGCCATTTTGATTCACGATTCGAATCTCGATTTAACAACTATGATGACATATAATCAATATATAAAATTATATATTTTGTGCGTGTTCCTCATGTGCCGTGTCTTGTATTTTTTAAAAATTTTCGTATCGGGGATTTCGTGTCATATCCGTGTTGTGGTGTCGGTGTCTGTGTCTGTGTTTCTTAGCTGGCATGCCAAATAGAAAAATCAAACCATGTCTTCTAATTGGGAGGGGGAATTTCTTTGGATGCTAACATGCTGCATAAAACAGTGGTAATTGGAATTTTCAGGTTAAAGCCATAATGATGGTTAAGGATTTCCCTTTGTGCAGGTTGTTGCCAACCCTTGATGTTCTGATGTGTTTACCTTTTGATCAAATGGTGCTGATCCTTGTAAATCATGAGCACTTGTTTCTTTGATATTTTTTTTTTTTTGATCAGCAAAGAAAAAGGGGAAACTTTATTGATGAGAAGAGCAAATACAAGCGACAATTTACATCAATAAAGGAGGGAAGTGCAAAATATCATAACTAACACTCCACAATCTCAACTAGGTTGGCACCAAGGAGGAAGCACAATCATCTGTTAGCACTAAACCCACAGATTGGCGAGAAACCAATCCAAAAACAAGGAAACAAAAAGAAAGACATGAAACCAATGCATATAACCAATGCACCAGCAAACCTAAGCACCAAGGATTACAGCAGAACCCCTCTCCACCAATCCAACACACCTTTACCCTTAGATGAAAGCTTTTGATATAAATCAGCCTTAAACAGCTGCAGGACAACCAGCTACTTATCAGCCAGTAGCAGCCACACACTCCCCACAGCTCAGACAGCAGCAGCAGCATTCTGGAATAACAGCAACATTGACAGCAACTTCTCAACATAGTATCACAGCAACATCACTTCCTCAACACCAGCAAGGTCCAAGCTCCTAAACTCACAGCTGCTTCTGCTTCTCAAACATAAGAGCCCAACAAACTGCAGGCCCCTTCAAACCCCTTCAATTACTATGACACCCTGAACTGTAACCCCACCAGAACACACCCACAACAGGACCCAGCAGCACCTTTACCTTCGAGTCATAAAACTACCCAGCGGCATGCCAATGACAGAACAAACACTCAACCCAGCAGCAACAACATTATCCCAATAACAGAACAAAACAAAAACTCAACCCAACAACAACTTCAACTGGTAGGCATGGTTGTAATTTGCTGTAGATTATAGATGAAGTCCTGAACTGAGTAAGAGCACCCCTTTGAATACGCTGTGACCCAGAATGCCACCCTTACCTTAATCAAATCACAAAAGTCATCGATTCAAAATTGGCCTCCATTAAAGATTACTCCATTCCTAAGTTTCCAAATAGACCACATAATTGCCAAAGGAATGGCTTCCAGATTTGAGCTGCAAATTTTCCCCACTTAAATCCCAACCACCAACGAAACAAGCCCTCAACACTACTAGGCAATACCCACTGTAAACCCCACCAATTCAATAATCTTGACCAAACTTGCCAAGCAAAGGGACACCATAGTAATACATGGATAATAGATTCCTCCTCATTCCTGCAAAAAACACAGTTAACTGAAGCGTTTTGATTCAGCACACCAATCCTTCGCAGGAAAACCGCAGTCTTCAATCTTCCTCTCCAAGCCAGCCAACAAAGGAATTGGGCTTTTGGTGGAACCAGCTTATTCTAGAGCAGACTAGTGCTCGTCACAGGAATGCTAGGCACATACATTCTCAAAAGGGAGGCTACACTGAACTGTTGTGATGGACATGGTAGCCATTTCAAACAGTCCTCGCACTCTGCTGCCCCCAACTCAACCTGGCTCACAAGTGATACCAACCTAGCTAATTCCTCAGTCTTCCATGCAAATAATGATCTCCGAAAATTCGGATTCCATTCCCCTGATACAGTTCTTCTTTCCAATAACACTCCCAATGATGTCTCATTCTTTGTTGACAGACCATACAGCCTCGGAAACTCCAACCTAAGGCATTGTTGCCTAATCCAGTGATCAATCCAAAAATGAATCCTGAGCCCATTTCCCACCACCAGTTTTGAATTGTGAAGAAAAATGCTTAATAAGTGAGGGTTGGCTTGGCCAACACTTAAAATCCCACCCCATATTCTAGAAACAGAATATGCAGAACATGAAAATGGTGCCCATTTTCCTCCACTAAACTGATATCTACTACACAGTACTCTCTTCCACAAGAAATTATCTTCAATGCCAAATCTCCACCACCATTTAGCTAATAGACAGTCATTTACATCCTTTAACTTCCTAATCCCCAATCCTCCCTGTTCTTTGCTGATAGTGATCTCCTCCCATTTGACCATATGGATCTTTTTCCTTAACTCAGACCCTCCCCAAAGAAACGCTGCTCGCAGACGGTCAATGGTCATGATCACAGACTGAGGCATCTTGAAAATGGATAAGTAATACACAGGGAGACTAGACAATACAGACTTTATGAGAGTTAGCCGACCCCCAAAGGATAGCAGTTTCCTTTTCCAAGATGCTAACTTAGCCCTCACCTTGTCAATCACTGGTTTCCAAGTTTTCTTTAATCTTGGACTAGCCCCAAGAGGCAAACCAAGATACGAGAAAGGAATGCTTTGAGTTTTACAATTAAGCCTACTAGCACACTCCATAACCACTTGCGTAGGAACCCTAACTCCGCACACAAAGCTTTTGTGGAAGTTTATTTTCAACCCTGAGACTAACTGGAAGCATCTTAGGATTCTCTTGATTACCAAAACCTCCACTACATCCGCCTTGCAAAAGATTATCATGTCATCAGCGAACTGTAAATATGATACAGTCAAACTTGACCCATTTTGACCTAAAACTGCTCCTGAGATTAACCTTGCTGATGTAACAGGCCCGCGGGGGACCTCGCTACAGCTCGGACTCGACTTTCGTTGTCACGGTTCTAAGTCTGAACCAAAGAGTCCAAATCCGGCAAATCGTTTTGAGAAAACAGATTTTTGAAAGAAGTGCCAAACATGGACTGCTTTGCCAGATACAGAGTCGCCACCTAAATATTTTATTTTGGGAAAATTTAGGAAACCCTGACTCATGCCTAAGGCCACGTGTCCGTCATCACCAAAGAGTTGCCCTCGGCTCGGGGAACTTGGGTACGATTGGGAAGGTCACCTTTTCGTGAGCACGCCCCGCTCGCTGTCCGGTCCATAGACCGGCCTCTACTAACCAATGATATCAATTTTGAACAACATTGCGAGTTCTTATTCGGTTTATTAGCCTAGGTTATATAGATGCTCATAAATATAAGTTGACCAGGTTCGCCAAATTGGGAACAAAACATTTATGTTGTTTTTAAAGATGGTTTGCTACCGCAGGTAGGCTTGAAACATTTTGATGTTTTATTTCCGACATCAGATAACCCGAACTTCAACCGACAGGCATTCAGGTGCAGTTAAATCATGTAAAACATAGCTCTTGGTAAGCATGGCTATTCCATGGCAACACTCACACGCATGCAAGGATGCAAGCATAAAACTTACCGGTACTACTCCAAGCCAAAACAAAAAACTGTATTAGAAATCAGTGCGATGATCTAAGTATATCAGAAAATGCCTAATGTAACAATGCAAAATGCAACTATAGCTAGGCTCGGCTATTTCTAAGATGGTATAGGGATGCTAGAAAAAAGATACTTAACATGTATTCAATTGGAATGAAAGTACGATGCAGTTAGTAGGTTGCGCCGAGCCTCGATGCATACAATACAGATGAATGATGCAAACATGCTGTGCAATACTGTATGGCTAATATGAAATATGCCCTAATCTAACCATCAAAAGCGGATAAATAAAAGGGAGAAAGACGTGGGATTGAAGACATACGTATCAC